CCCCCCCCCCCCTCCCCAAAGACCTTCACAAACGTTGCAAAGAGTAAATGCTGCTCACAAACAATAGCAAAAGACGGTACCACAAAAACTGTACAGCTCACTGCGAGTCTAAAACGGCCATGCATCTGAACAATTTTTGCACATTGTACGAAAATTTCGCACGTGCAATCAAAAGTTTTAGCTAAAGTGAAATGATGTTGTGGAAATGTCTCGCTAAAGGCGAACGCAAACGTTAATTGCTTCAGTGGCTGATATTAACTATTTGAATCACTGATTTTTCGAGCGAAGAAAACTAAGAAACTATCAAAAAGATCTTATTTTACGAGTTGGAATTAGTTCTAACAAACGAACGAACCAACAAGTCAAGTTACGATAATCAGCAGAAATTCAGTTCCACAATCACACACGAATTAAATTCAGAATGGTAATGAACCATTTCGCGAAGTTCACATGAAATAAAGAAAGTTAGTGATTCTATTGCGTACACTGGTAGTATTAGTCGACTAGGATCGAGACAATCTGATTATCATACTATTAAACGTCAGTTAAAAGAGTAAATACCACCACAGCATAACTGCAAGGTAATCAATCCACCACACAGATCTCAAATTCAGTTATTGATTAAATCGTCGATACAACGGTTTGAAGTTGACTGATTAGCGATATTTTTTGATACCACATAGCAGAATGAGCAACACTTTTGCAGAGTATCATACACTTCTCAACATGAATTCTTAAGAAAATAACACTACAAGTATATAAAGATAGCATTAACTGAAAAACCTTTCTATTCACATATAGCAAACTTTCACAACTGATTTGCTGTTTTGATTAGCTGTTCAGATGGAAAACTACAGAAGGGAAAATAAACGACAGAATATCGTACAAGATTACTGAGAACCGTAAAGAGTTAAGTTGAACGAATGTGACTAAAACAAAACGGATAGTGAACGTGAGATTTGTTTCTTGATCTTTCTGAAAGAACGATAAATACAACGAATATTTTAACACGATAATAAGCTAACTGCATGGAGGCGAACAAAATTTCGTTGGCACGAAAACCAATAATAACGCACATAATAATCTTTCAACTAAATGAAACAGATAATCTAGAAACAGACATTAAAACGAATTACAAAGCTGTTGTTCGTAAATTGCGAATAATTCAAAGATTGAAACTGCTGGAATAATCAAGAGATTAGAACGCTTATAATAAAAAAGCTGCAATTGAAAGAGAGAAGAAAATAATTCGCCATATAAAACAACAACAAATACGAGCAAAACCGAATGAAAAGGTACAGTCAAATATGAAAGAAATTAAGGTATTAATTCTAAACATATCACATACATTGTTCACAGCGAACAAACAGAGATAACCAATGAGCAATTATGCGTTAGCGGCGAAACGAAATTGAGATATATAACGAGCACCGACTGATTCAATTTCAATATGCTTATCAATAACATTCCAAATATCTTTGTTTGAAGAATTCTATTAAATTGAACCAAAAGTTTTCAAACAGTATCAAAAACAAGTAACTTATGCCTCAATTTTTGGATGCTTCATAACAGTGATGCTCTAAGCTCACAAGTAATCAACCACTAATGCAATATTAAGAATACAGTTATGGTATATTATAGTAAAAACAATCATAATACCTGAATATTACATAAATCTCACTTCGAAGAAAACGAATGGGGTGCATAAAATGAGAACAGAATGATGGAGAGCGAAGAAAAAGCATCCAATGACACACACACAACATAATAACA